GGTGGGACCTGAACAAGCCAGCGTTCAGGTGACGCGGCAGCAGCTGCTTTTCCACGTGGACCTCTCCGCAGCCCGCTCCTGCGGGAAGGGAGGCAGGTCCTGCTCTGAGTCAGTCTCGCCACAACCCACATCACTCGGAGGCCTGGGTTTTTTTTGGTTTTTGGTTTAGGGATTTTTTTTTTTTCCCCTTCATGGATATTTGGGGATATTCCTGCTCACTCTTGTTTTTCTTCTCCCTTCGCGTATGTAGTGGTCAGAATGGGATGGGATTCCAGGATTAATTGCTTATCTTTTTTTCTGCGCACGTGTCTCGTGTTTCCTCTCGCGTTTCCTAGGCTGATGCTTGGCTTTTCCTGGGTAGCGCTGGCCTCTTGCAGCGTTATTGATCCCGAAGCTCCTGGGCACCCTCTGTCTCTTAGCCGTGGCGCGTGTTTAGCCTGGTGCCTGCCGTCACCGCTGTGGAGGGTCAGAGCGGGGCACAGAGTTTACGTGGAGCTCGCAGGCTGGACTACGCATTTTTTGTGGTGATTAAACTTCTGCTTTCAGTGCCTCGGCATCCCTGCATGGGAAAGCCTGCAGTTCTTTGAGACAGGCTTCTCTTCCTGTGTTTTTTTCCTCCGTCATTTAAAGCGGTGAGGTTTTTTATTCTGCCTATTCTTGTTTTCCTACGTGCAGCAGTTTCTTGCTTCCCCTTGCACTCACCAGACCTCATTGCTGCCGCTTTCCAACTTTGGGATATTTTAGTAAGTGATTAAGTAGGTAACGAGAATACTTGTGTATTGGAGTTGAGCTTTTCATGTGCTACTCCAATTAGGTTAGTTGGGAACAGGAGAATTAAACACTCCTTACTTCATGCTGTTTGCAGAGTTGGAAAGACAGCCATGGATCCATAGGCTCAGCCTACGACTAGGCGCCTTCCTTCAGGATTGCAAAGCCTAAAAAACTTGCTGGGTTTTTGCTGAACAATCTGCGCATCATGTGTCCCGTAAATTCCCTGACATCTGCTTGGCAATCCGCGGTGTGCATCTTTTTCTAGAAAGTGGCTCGAAAGAGCTGAGGGATTTCTGTTTTCATCTTTAATCTAGAAAGCCTTCTGCAAGTTGCTTTCACAGATCTATTTAAAGGAAGACAAAAGTGTGAAGCTGCCCACCAAGAGGATTCTAGATTTTATTTTCTTTTTTACTGACTGGCTCTGGATTGAGTCTTTTTAAAATAAGGTCTCTCTTCTCTGAGCAGCTGCCTTATTTGCTCCTGCCATCTCTTCTGATCTGAAAGTAGCATCACTTCAGAGACTTCTCGGAGCAAAGGAGCCTCTTTCAAGTGCTCAGGGTTCTTTCCGCACCTTCCCTCGCTGGTGTGGTATTGTCTGGCTGAAGTGTCCCTTCCTTTCCAGCAACCTTTAATTTTTCTGCAGAGGAGTTGGTTCTGAGGTCACCTCAATTCTCTTCCCAAGGGAAATTCAGACTATAGAACGTCAACTTTCCTGTCCTTGTTTTGTTGCAAACCTGCTTGCACTCTGAAATAAGAGGAAAAAAAGAGTAACCATGCTTTTTTGCATGTGGCCCAGATTGTGGGATCCAGCTTGTTAGAGCTAACCCCCGGAGAAAGCCCAGCCCTGCTGTTAGCCTGCCACGAGCAGCAGAGCCTTAGTTCCCTGATGTCCCAGTGGTTCCTGTTCTCTCAGAAAGACTCACTTCAGGACAGAGTGCCTGGGAAAACGCAGCCGATGGCTTTTCCTGCAAAGTCCCTGCGTTTTTGATAGAGAGGGTTGGCACAGGGCTCCTGTAGGGATGGCTCCTTGAGTAGCCTTTCTTCTCCTGGTTTGTTCTTTAAGTAAGAACGCTGCCGAGATGTTCCCTGTCTCGCTGCCGTCTTTGGGCTAAGCTCAACGTTCCCCCGCTGCTGTCCCGTTAAGACCTCATCCATGCTCCTGCCTCTCTTGCTTTCCCCTCCTCCCCCGCCACTCGGGTATCTGCCCCCTCAACCACACCGAGCCGAAGGCAGACGAGCCCGGCTGGGCCCAGGCTGCCGGAGGAGTTGGTTCCCCTTCAGATAAAGCAGTTCCAGGTAAGGAGGCGAGTTTTCTCCCCCAGCAAGGTGGCTTTCGCCCTGCCCGTGGCGGCTGGGCTGCGGCAGCCCTGAGCTGGCATGGCACGGCATGGCCTTCGCAGTGGCCCGGCACCCGGCGCGGGGGCATTTCATTTAGCCATTTTTATCAGAGCCTTGATAACTGTTAGCGTTATGTTAACTGGTGAGATGCTATTTACAATTTGAATGTGGAATGCTTAAAATATTAATGGTTTGAAAATGTAATTGGTAGATCTCGTAAGCAGCCGAGGAGCTTGTGTTAAGTGCTAGCGATGTGTTTTCCTTTTAACACACCATGCAACGTGTAATGCCTTTCCTTCCCATTTAGGCTTGCCCGTATTCCCAGTGTCTCCGCACATGAAGAGCCTTTCATCCACCAATGCAAACAGCAAAAGGCAGGCTCAGCCAAGCTGTACTCCAGCCTCGAGGTTGGCTGCCAAACAGCAGAAAATTAAAGAAAGCCGGAAGACAGATGGGCTGTACACAGACGAAGAGGAGGATTTCCAACACGCATCTCTGCTGCAGAAATACAGCGAGTGTGAGAAGCCATCAGGGAAACGTCAGTGTAAAACAAAACACTTGGCACTGCAGGAGAGGAGAAGGAGGTCATCTCTGACAGGGGATGACACCACAGATATCGAAAATGCTGAAGATAAGGTATCTTTATTTAGACTTAATTGTCCACCAGCCTCTCAGGAGGCAGAGCCAGCCTGCTTAAAACTAATGCGCTGTCATGCATGCAGGGTAGCGGGGACTGCGTTCAGATTCGTCTGTGGATGCTTTGCACATTCTGTGTTTGCTTTTCTTAACCGGAGTTAAAGGCACTATTGCAGGGAGTGAGGATTCTGGCGTTTGAAAGCTGTGGCCGGTCTTTCTTAAAAAATGAAACGGGAGTAGAAAAGTGTAATTCTTTGCTGGCAAAATATAATCCCATCACTGTATTGTGAAAAGGAGTATAAAAACACCCCGCAACAATGGTTTTGACAGGTCACGGCAACGAGGAAAGTCAAGAAGCGACCAGAGCCTACTTCAGACTGCGACTCCTCGCCGGCTAAGTCGTATGAGCAGAAGCTGTACGATCGCCTGCAGCAGACTCCCTCGTTGCTGCCTGTCTCTCAGCCTTCGCAGCTGCCCATTGCAAGCCCCCCTCAGGAGACCACCCCGAGCCGGCCCATGCCGCCCGAAGCCCGGAGGCTGATCGTCAATAAGAATGCGGGGGAGACGCTGCTGCAGCGGGCGGCACGCCTGGGGTACGAGGTAAGGGTCTTTCGCCACCCTGCCTGAGGGTAAAACCCTCCTCTCCCGGTTTTAGACGTGGCAGCTTTTGATGAGTGGCAGCTTTGAGTTTGGTCTTCGAAATTTGAGGCCCCCCATCCCCTCCCTTGCTGCATTCCCTTCCCCGGATGTGGAGGCAGGTCGCTGCGGGAATGGGTCTCCAGAGCTGGCAGGGATGCAGCGTCCTGCGCACATGAGCAGAGGGTACGTTTTTTATTGGTAACCCTGGGTTCTCTTTAAATACAAGCCATCTGCAAACAGAATGGATGCCTTCTTTTTCTTATTTTTATTTCTTAAAGTTAGTTTTTATGGTGGTCTTTAATGAGCTGGACGATTTTTGCTCTTGTTATTTGCGCAGAGCGTGTAGTTTAGGGGAAGGGGTTTCTTTTTGTTCTTTTCTCCATGGAGTGACTGATATGTGACACAGGATGTAGCACTTGGAGTGTCCTCTTGCATGATCAGATGCATCGTAGGAGCCTTCTGCGTGCTTTATGGTTGGGGTCTGGAGCTGCTTGGCGTAGCTGGAACAATGTTGTCTAATGAAACGGCCCCCCTGTTGCTACCAAAATCAGAAACCGATGCATCCCCTAGCTCCGCTGCTCTGAAGCACACTTTTATTGGGGAAGTACGGGCATAGAGGTGGGAGTGTCACTGGTGCTCGGCTTCAGATCTCGCAAAGAGGCGTTTCATCGCAGAGAGCGATCGCTGCCTGCGGTGTGGCTGCGGGGTTCGCCTCAGCCATGGGAGGACCACGTGGACCGTGGAGCCAGGCTTGAGCCCTGCGCTGGAAGGTGGCACCAGCTCGTGCCCAGGTGGGGCCTGCTCAGCCTCAGGGGTTTGCTGAAACCTCAAAATGCCCTTTGTAACAGCTGGGGAGCTCTGTGTGGAGAGAAGCCTTCTCCAGGTCTGAAGGCAGGGTTTATTGGAAAGGTTTTGTTTACCCTAGACAAAAGCTTCTCTTAACCCAGGGCACTTCAGCTCTAGCTAAGAGGAGAAGCGGTTGTTACAATGTTGCTATGGTAATCTCCATAATTTAAATGATTTAATTTCCTGCGGACCTAAAATTTCCTATGGATCCAGAATCAAAATGTGTTGTAGCATGTGCTCCGAGCTATCGGAGTGTATTTTCTTCCTGCGCACAGTGTCTGTCGGGGCGAGCGCCGCTCGCGCGTAGCAGGTTGCCGTGGGATGCTCGTGCACTTCGCTTTCTGTGCCCGGTGCACTCTGCTTAGCACAGCTCGATGCGAGCAGCTCTCGCGCTTAGCGGTGGGCTGAGGTCTGGATCAGACGGGGGCCGAGGGCTCTTGGCTCGCTTTGCTGGTGGCGGGAGCTGTCTGCGTTGGCTGTTACTGGGCTGGTTGCAGAAAGCTGAGGATGCCCAGGCTCACCAAGATGGGGGCCCTGGGGTAACCTTGTGTGCTCGCTGTGCCTTCCCATCATCAGCTGATTGGGGATTTTGATTTTCTGAATTCACCCAAAAGCAAACAGCACGTTTTTAATAGGCTTAAATATTCTGATCATTTGACTTGATGGTTCAGCTGGCGCTGACAGAGCAGCAACAGATCTCGTTGTTGGCAGAGCGCGGGACCGGAGAGGGAGCCCAGGCACTGGAGCTGCTGCCGGGATCTGGCATGGTCTGTGTCAAGGCTTGGAGCAGTGGGTAGCTGCGCTGCCGTGTCGGGGCTTCGTTTGGCCTGTGGTGAGCGGTGATAGTTTGGTCAGCCGTGGTCAGTTCTGTAGCTGTGGTGTTTTTCTTGCTACTGACCAGACTGCTGCAGCTGATTTCCTCAATCTCCAGGAAAATTAGAATGGTCAAGAAGTTACAAATATCTCTGTTTTTTTTTAAAAAAAAAAAAAAAGAAAAAGGCAAGAGTCTCGATGGGTCGAGGTAATTTGCTGGTCTGTGACCAGTGGCAGCTGCACACATCTGTTTTCTGCCATCCCCGTTAGCGGGGCAGCAACCTTCGGTGCCTGTGGCACGATGCGGGGGGGCTGATGCTGTAGTGGGAGCTCTCGAAGCTCCCAG